CTACTACTACTACTACTACTACTACTACTACTACTACTACTACTACTACTACTACTACTACTACTACTACTACTACTACTACCACGACTACTACTACTACTATTACTGCTGTTGCTGCTGCTGCTGCTACTGCTACTGCTGCTGCTGCTGCTAGTAAAAAATACTACAACTACCACTGCGACTACGAGTGCTGCTACGCCTACTACTACTACGACGACAACGACTACTACTACTGCTGCTACTACTACTACTACTACTACTACGACTACTACTACTGCTACTACTACTACTACTACTACTACTACTACTACTACTACTACTACTACTACTACTACTACTGGCGGCCACGTGCACCACATCACCACGGCCCAACCACCTTGGGAAGAGCGTCCTCGTGGCTGCCTCATTGCCAGTATGTAGCGGGCACCTCTTCTGGGTGAAAGGGCGGGTCTGACGTGCATGCAGCGCCAGGCGCTTGTCCGAGGGAAGCTGGTCCCTACGGCCCAAAGTGAAGCGCCAGCGGCGGCGCAGCAGCACACGGGGCGACCCCGGCACCGCCACCCAGGCCAACTAGCGCAAGAAGACGCGAGAAGAGGCCAGGATGGCAAGCCAAGGGCGGGTCTGACGTGCATGCAGCGGCAGGCGCTCGACCGAGGGCGGCTGGCCCCTACGGCCCAAAGTGAAGCGCCAGCGGCGGTACAGCAGCACACGGGGCGACCCCAGTACCGCCATCGAGGCCAACTAGCGCAAGAAGGCGCGAGAGGAGGCCAGGATGGCAGGCCAAAATGGCAAGGCGCCCAACGGCGTCGCGGCAGCACACGGGGCGGCCCCAGCACCGCCAGCGAGGCCCACGAGCGCAAGTGAGCGTGGGAGGAAGCCAAGATGGCAAGCCAGTTGGCGGGCCAGAGTAGTTCGGCGCACGGATGACCGCACGCATAGCAGAGGCTAAAGCCACTGGTGCTGCCACGCGAGGGGGGGGCCACTGTGGGCACGCCGCACTACTGAAAATGGCAGGCAAGAAATCTTGGCATGGACTCACGTGGCCTGTCGAGGCCATGGACCCTGCTGGGCTTCATCATTCAGGCCGGCTGGCCTGATCTCTGCGCAATGGCTGCGAAGACCTGCGACGGCAGCGCTTGCACTCCCCCCCCCCCCCCGAGGTCGCCACTGCCGCCCGCCTGCCCTGGGGGGCCAAAGATCCGGCGCTCGAGATCTTCGCCGAGGGCCACGTTTAGGGCTGCAACATGTTGGATCTGCTGCGGGGGCGGGTCCGTCGGCGGCGGCGGGTCCGTCGGCGGCGGCGGCACCACAGGGGGCGCCGTCAGCGGCGGCGGCGGCGGGGCCATGATGGCCGCTGGCGGGGCCCCGACAGGCGGCGGTGGTGGGCCCTGGCTGCCGCGGGCCCCACCCGCTGGGGGGGCGCTGGCGGTGCGGACGGGGGTGGCGCGCGGGGCGACCCCTGTGCCACCCCCGCCGCCCGTGAGGCTGCCCTCCCGCAGGTTGTGGCGGCGCTCGTAGAGCGCCAGCTCCCTGCGCGCCATCTCCAGGCGCTCCCTCTTGGCCTTGTACCGCGCCTTCTTGCTGTAGCCCGCCCACTCTGGGTCGTTCAGTCCCCAGGCGACCTGCGCGCAGAGGTCGGCCCACTTGAACTCGGCCAGGCTCTCCCAGGAGAGCCCCTCCATCAGCGCATAGTGGCCCCCCCACTGTGGCTGGTGTGGAGCGTAGCGCTTGAAGACGGCGCCCACCGCCAGCGGCTCGACCTTGGGCAGGTACTTCAGGAGGTCCACCGCGCTGAACACTGGCATCTCCTCCTTCTTGAGCTTGTCGTAGCGCAGCAGGGCCTTCAAGTCACGGATGTCCTCCTCGGGGTGCTCCGCGTGCATGTAGTACGCACGTGGCGGTTTCAACTCTTCCTCTATCAACTCGATGCAGACGCCGTAGGAGGTCGAGTAGCGCGCACCGCAGTGGCAGTACCAGCGCTGGCCCGTACCCCCCGCCGCCTCCTGTGCGCAGGTGAGCAGCTGTGACCAGCGATCCGATCGGATCACCGAGCAGCATCCCCTGGGATTGTCCCAGGTCTTGTTGGCCGAGCACTTGTAGTACATGTTGAACGTGAAGCCCTTGCAACGGTAGAACTGGTCCGTGTAGTCGCCCATGCGGCGGTAGGCCTCCTGCGCCGCGGCGTTGCCCTGCCACTCCTCCTTCCAGGCACGTTTGTGTCCCAGGTGTGCGCACGCAATTCCCGAGGCTTCCAGGAGGCCCTTCTTCAGCCTTCCCACATCCTTCTCTGCCTCCTCATTCAGCGCGTCGAGCCACTTCTGGACCCCGTCCTGCGCCTCTGCGCCCCTCTCCATGTCCTCCTTCTTCTCCAGGGTGGGCCCCAGGCCTCCCAGCATGCGGGTGCGCATCGAATATGAGGACGCCATAGGCCCGCGACACACGCTTCAGCGATTTCTTGGAGAGGCCGAGCCGCAGCAGGGGCTCGATGTCAGTGACCTCCTCCACGGTCTTGACGTCGGTCAGCTGGTGCTCCTGGCCCTCAGCGTCGATGTCGGGCTGGGGGTCGCTCTCTTCGCCACGGGGAGGTCCATCCTCGAGGGGCGGGGGTGGCGCACGGGGCGGCCATCGGGCGATCCGACCTCCTCCGCCACTGCTTCCGTGGCTGGGGGGGGCGACCGTGCTCTCGGGGTCGATGCCCACCCCAACGCCCTCCGTTGACCTCCGCAGGGCAAGCAAGCCTTCCTCGGAGAGCGCGAACCCCACCAGCACGTCCATGCCCTCCTTGATGTAGTCGAAGCTCGCACGGAACTTCGCCACTCGCTTGGCGGCGGGGTCGATGGAGCCTGGGCCCTTGTTCGAGCGCGCTGCGCGCGTCACGGCCTCGTGCTCGGCGATGTTCTGCGTCGTCGCCACGCAGCGCGAGCGCGTGTGCAGCTTGTACTGTCCTTCTTTGCCCCTCCTCAGCTCGGGGCATTGCTGATTGCGCCCTTTGGCCTCCACATAGCGGCGCATCTCCCCACAACTGAGCTCGTCCACGTACTCCACCGCCATGATCTTCCAGTCGTCCAGCTCAGTGCACCTCCGACACCAGCCCAGGCGCTGCGGCGGGACCCAGTACGCACCCATGCAGTGGACGTAGCCCGCCTCGGCGTAGTCCTCCTCCACCATCATCTCGGCGTCTTCGGGCGCGGCAGGTGTGCCGCCGCTCGGCTGGGGGGCCTGGCCGTAGACGGCCTTGTTGCTGCGTCGGCGGTGGCGTTTGCCTCCATGACCGCTGAGGGCACCCGTGGTCGCAGCACTCGGGGCCTCACTGGCGGTCCCGTCGTCCACGGAGCGATCGCCGTCGGCGTCGCTGCGCGCACCTCGGCCGCCGCGGCCGCCCACGGCCTGCCCCCTCAGCTGGGGGCTGTGGAGCGCGAGGGTGATCGCGTCCAACCCACGGCGCTGCTCCGTGGTGAAGTTGGCGTAGGTGGCTGCCGCTGCCAGGGCGGCCGTCGTCACTGGCACCACCGCCGACGTGGGCATCGCTGAGGCCTCAGCGGGCGCCTCAGCCGTCGCCGTGGGGCCTCCCTCCGAGGCGCCATCGGAGGCGGCGGCGCTGGGGGCGGCCCCCGTACCGCCGCCTCCGTCGGCGTCCTCGGCGGGCGTCACTGATCCCGCGGGCAGTGTCGGCGCCGTCCGAAAGGTCGCCGCCTCCGACATCATGTCGAACCCCTCGTCTTCGCTCTCCGACACGCTCACCTCCTGGCCAGGGCGCTGCACAGGCCCTGCTTTGGAAGTGGGTGCGTCGGCCGCGGAAGCACCGCTGGCCTTCGCACGTGCCTCAGCCTTCGCCTTAGCTTTCGCCGCCGAAGCCTCGCGAAGAGGCGCCGCATCGTGACTGGGCGAGTCGGCGCGCGTCTTGGCAGGCCAGGGCATCGGCGCGGGCTTCGAGAACTTGGGCGCCATCACTTGGTCGGAAGGATGGCACGGGAGGCGCAGCTCGAGAGACTGCGCGAGACAAGGCCTCACGAGCCAAACAGCTGCCGAGGAAGAGAGGGGAGGGGGAGAGGCTGCACACCGAACCAAAATGGGCCAGCCGACTGCCAAGGTGGGACAAAGGTAAAACATGATGACTAAAGGCTGATACCAACGGCTCCAGGCGCGTGGGAACCTATCCTTGCGCAGGCGGAAATCGGCCTGACCCCCGTTCGGGACCCTGGGCGGGCAGGAGAGGGGAAAGGGGGGCGAGGAGACCACGTCGCGGGCGGGCGACAAAGCGGACGGCGGGCCCCCGACGGCCCCAGGACCCGCGGGGCGGCCCCGATCTTAACGCCTATTGACGCCTCATTAGCCAGTGGTCTCGAACAGGTGCTATTGGGGGCATGAAGGCTCAGCACGAG